TGGGAGAAGTTTATAAAATATAATGAACTATTTATGAATAGTGGTCTCATAGATACTTTCCACAACTTGCTGTTGTTACGGCACCACCTTTCGATCATTTGTTGTCAACCAGCAAAAGCTTAAAAAATAACGCAAGTTATATAAATGTTTTTATCAATTTTACAAATCAGATCATACAAAGGTAGCAAACAATTATTAATATAGTACTGTACCAGTCAACTTTCTTCACAATTTGTTTCCACATTTCATCTATGAGGCAAAATCGATAAGGAATCAGATGCACATATGATGGAAACTTCGGGAGGAGATGAAGCTGAATCGCAAAGAGGACTGGTTGAGGGCTGAAACGGTGTCGACAGAGAGCTACGTTTAACTCCTCCATATGCGAATGTGATGCTGTGTAGCTTGATGAAACAAATGCTACAATCTTTGAGGCATTCTCTAGAACTGCACGCTTCTCCTGATCTGAACCTTCATCAGAACTGATGGTAATATTAGGGACGAAGGTTTTGAGCATTTTCTGGAAGAACCTAGCAAACTTTAGGTAGTGCTTTGTACAGCTTATGGCAATGTCAAATTCAATCAAATCCTTTTCAATTTCTTCATTTCCTTTTTTTAAATTTAAATCTTTTTCTTTTTTTATGTCAACTTTCTGTCTAGCTAACTCATCATATTTTGCATCTTCCAAATTCCATTTGTCAGATTTGTCACCAATGTCTTTACCCTGTGCCTGATCCAGTTCTTTTACATAATAACTTTCCAGGTCTGGAGGAAATGTTTTACCTCGCCAGTTAGCTTGCATAGGATATCTATCGGTCAGCCTTGCTCTCCTCAATCGCTCTTGTGTCTCCAGGATATTCAGGGAGATTTTTGGCTAGAGTGAAGATAAATACATTGTAAAAATATAAAATGAAGACATTATACGTAGTAGGAATAAAAAAGATCTAAAATAATTGTGGTTTGTTGTCAGCTGTTCGTATGCTTTAAGGTCGTGAATTATAAGAAATAATTTGATATTATGACTTGATGTTAGCTAATATACAATAATGGTAGCTAGTAGTGATAAGTCTCCCGGAAACCGGAACAGCCTCCTGCAGTCCTGCAAGCATGAACGAATCTTCCATAAAATGACCCATCTTCCGCAAATTAACAATTTTATACTAGTTTTACTAGTGCCTACCTTGCTCTATATAATCTTTATCCTACATCACACATTTCTGCATAATTAACTTACTCTAGTGAATAGAAACTGCATTTTAGTCTGCTTTCCACTCAGGTGCTTCACGATGGCCGTGCACGTAAATTGTATAGCTGATGTGAAGAACTCTCCAGTCGCATTCACCAGTTGAATCTGTTTAAATTCTAGAGGAACATCTTCCAGATCATCAACAAGCAGAGGAACCAAGATCAAATTATCATTCTGTCATAAAAGAAAATAACACTGATGTTATCAATTAAACGGCTGTTTTAGTAGTAATACGTATACATTAAAGTCTACTGTTTTTATAACAATGTTATAGACTCTTGTTCTAGATAAGGCGAGTCTATTGATCCTGTGGGGCGAAGAAAAGCTGCAGGTGAATTGCATTCAAGACTGCAAACAGCATAAACCACTTTACAGCCCAACAGTTTGATAGTTTGTGTTGTTTTCGTAGGTTAGCTCTTGCGTGCCACGTGATAAGACATGATGAAATAGCCGGTCGTGTTCTCCTTTGGAAGCAGTGCCACCGAGAGGGGAAAGGGGCAAGATCTCCAGGGCCCTAGCTTACCAGGGGGCCCATAGAAATTGCAGGTAGCATTCTTTTTTTTTTGCCATAGTATTATTTAAACTCGTTATAAGCCCTCCATAATGGCATGGATCCCCTAATAATGAGCCCCTCAGATTGACAAATCCCCCAAAAATTGTAGCGCCTTCGGCACAATCTTTCTAACCATGAGGTATTTCTACCCTTTGAAAATTTTCCTGATTTCCAACCATCATTTGGGACATTCGGCCTTTCTCTGGTAATTGCTCTTTAATTGGATTATAGCTTCTGTAATTTATTGCCCATGCAAACCATAAGTATGCCTATGTGATTTATTGACAACTTGCTGGAAAACTAATTACCAATTCAGCTCTCTCTTTTGATTGAGTTTGATTGTCAGTTAAGGTCAGTGCAAAGTGTGGTTGGGTATTGTGGTAAAGCATGGAGTTGTTATAGCACTATAACAACTCCCTGGGTAAAAGGACCAACCCTTGCCCCTGTTACAGTTTTCCCCCTTGACGGCCCTGTTTGGAAGCCTGATGCGTACAGAAAAGTTGGAAGACGCAGAATAACGTTAAAAAAATGTGCTGGAAGAAGACAATGGTCTTAAAGGGGATGAATTGATAACGGCAATGACGGATCGAGGAAGCTGGAGGAAGAGCTTTGTCCATGTCACCGATAAAGTCAGATGCGGAAGTAAGTAAAATTGTTTTTGTTGCTCGTCCATGTGACTAAAATTTAGGATTTACTTTTAAGGAAGCAAGAAAACGAATTCTCACCTGCTGGCAATGTTTACTTAAGAGGAGACTAAACTCCTCTTGGCAAACTGGCGATTTCAGGTATTCTTTAGTTACCACGGCAACAAAGCACTTGGTGCCATCAATGACATGGTACAACGTTTGTTGCCATGTGGCCCCTGTTAATAAAAATAATGGTGACCAGAAAATGATCATGATAATTATGATTAAAAAAAATAATAATACAGCAGTTATGTGCCATCTATCTAGCATGCTTCTTCTTTAACTAATTTAATTTCTTCTTTATTATTAGTAATAGGGAAAACAATCGATGCAGGCCCGTAGATAGCTCTTTTAACCACTGTTATTTATTTAACTGTGGTATAAAATTCGTCAGCTCTGGTGATTGCAGATTCATCCATATTATGAACAAAAAGCTATATTATTATTTACGCCTATAGATGTAATAGACACAAAACTTTACTTCATCAGGTCCCTAACACTACCCAAATAAATGGAAATTTAAATAGAATTTTCATAAACTATGGGTTTCAAAAGTCCATTAAATAAAGCGACAACCTTGGCCGCGCGAAATTTGTATAGAGCGCCATTTAGGCATTATCTCACATTACATGTCGCGGTGGTATAGGACATTTTAAGCCTTTAATAAACTTCTTAATTCAGTGTAGCCTAGAGTGTTATACTTCTGCACAATTAATTGTTTTCATGTACAGTATTATTTCATTTCAGGTATGTGGATTTTTATTGAAGAGCTACTGTTATTTCTTAAACAATTGATCAGGCAGTTCAAATGCTAAATATTTTATCGCTTCAGGACAGATTTACAAAAAAAATGAAGAATCGCACTCATAGTCAGTGGCGGATCCAGGAATTCGAAATAAAGGGTCCCAGGGAGGAACTCTCAGAGATAGAGGGTAAACCCACCTCAGCCCCAACATGGTTGGAGCTGAGGTAAGAAAATTATGATTATGGAACCTCAGATTGTCGGAAATGGCACTCTCAGACTTACACTTGAATATATTTTTTTCATCAATTTAAAAAAAAAAAAATAAATAAATAATTGGGGGGAAGGGGGCGGAATTCCCCTTTGAATCCACCACTGATAGTATACATGGCTTCCCCCTCTGCTTATTTATGAAATAAGTATAGTCAATGGATTGTGATACGTTTTTTTCTTGTCTGTTTGATTATGTTTATAATAATACATAGGCCTATTGTATGTAGGGCCTATAAATGAAAATATGTGCTGAATGATGTGTGATGAATAAAAATTGAAAATATATAGCATTTTCATACTTATATTTTCCGTATAAAATTATCAATATAATTATAATTACATACAATACATTATTTTCCATTTCAGGATTCTTTTGTATTTATAAGCCCGACAAAATTACTCATTTGCTAGGGCAGGCCTATTTCTATATTTGCGTGACTTACAGAGTATAATTTGTGGAAAGAAACGTTCTCACAAATAAAAAAAAATAATCACAACAAAACGCATTTCATGTATTTATTTATGTTTCGACTGTTTCCTCCCTCGACTTTATATCTATATTTTATACAGTATTATGATTTTATTTATGCAACAAATTTATAAGCTTTAAAAAACGAAAACTAAATAAGAAATAGAACAATTATTTAAGGAAAAAGTCACACCTATTCAAACTCACACATATTTTGTGCGTTTCCTTCTTCCATAAAATATGTACATCCCATATAAGTACATTTATTTTGTAGGAAAATAAAGATAAGATACAAAACGCATTTCATTTATTCATGTTTCATTCCTCTGTTTAAAATGTCCATTCATAATTTTATTTATACAACTTTATAAGCATTAAAAACAAAACTAAGTCAAAAAACGATATAGCAATTTATCATATTTCGACCGCTTGTAACGTAATTGGTTATTGGCACTCTATACATTAGAGAGGTTTCGCACGAATAAGTGTACGCATGCATCTAGCTACCCGTAACGGTTCGTGTAGCCATTCTGTGTTTTTCGCAATCACAACGCAATTCAAGCGTGGCCCTATGGCCTACTATACTCTGTTCTATTCTCTCATCAAGCTTCTCAAAGTTTTATTAGTATATGTAAGGTTTTTAAAATTAAAAATTGTAGCCGAAAAATACTTCCTTTTTGCCCAGAATGTTTGGTAATTTTGTGATAGGTTGTGCCTGGCTACAAGTACAGTAGGCCTAGGCCTACACAAAATCCCGACACCACAAGTCAAAGCACCGACGTTTTGATACCCAAAATGAGACGCATCCTATCGTAATTTGCTTTCTTCAAATGTCACAAAAATGGCACGAACGTATTCAAAGATACGGAACATTTATTTTTTACTCTTACGTAAAATGTGAAAAAAATAAACGAAGATTTTATTTACGTGTTGTGAGCGAGATATTCGTGTCGTCCACACGTTTAGCGGATAGCAGCCGGCGTATTACGTCAAAATGACGACGTATCATTTACACTAACCGTACGCGTTCGTGCGAAACCTCCACAGTCTTATAGCAATAATTTGGAGAATAAAAAGTCACTACACAACCCATTGTATTTACTGCTCATATTTCGTCCGTTTCCGTCATCCACAAAATAGAACAGAATTTCATTAAATGCAGTATCGGTTCTCTTAATTTCTTTATGTCAATCAAATAAAATTAAAAATCAAAAGTATACATGTGCACAAAACAAATTTTATTTGCTTATGCTTCGTCCGTTCCATTTACATGAAATACATTTATCTTTATGTCTGACGGTTCATATTTTATTTTTTCACACAACATCGGAAGCTGCAAAAAAAGTAACACATTAGTGAAGGTGATCTAGCTAAGTGCAGCACAACCAGTGGTGGCGCCAGCGGGGGCAGGTGCTTACCCCCCCCCCCCAGGGACTAATCAAGTTCCCCCTTCGGACAAAGTTCGTCGGGTAGTCAGACCTTAAAAAATAACCAGAGGTTCCTATTCTTTAAAAAAATCTCATTTGGGTAAAGCCGCCACTGAGCACAACATATCATAGCGCTCATTCAACCATTGTATCAGCAAAGCATTTAAATGGTGCTCCATACATTTTGGCGTTCGACAGGCGCGGCCGAAATTTTCCATGGCTGAAGTTGGCCTAAACCGCCAACACCTGCCATCCCCTATTAAAAAAATCCTGGCTACATGCCTGCAATGATCGACTATTATTACTTTCAATCTTACCTGTTTTTAGTTCTCTGTCAAAAAACACCTTTAAATTAGGATCAAGAGCTTTAAAATTATCCATCACATCGGCAGCTTTGCTTGAATTGTGATGACAGTATGAGATAAAAACATCGTACTCAAGCTTTGGACGTTCGTAAGCCACCTCAGCATTAACTGTGACATCAAGTGTTGAACTGAGTTGTTCACAGGCCGCATATATCTTATTAGTATCTTTTTCTCTTTTTAAATACAAAATAAATAATAAAATTAAAATGAAATATATGACCAACTTTTATTCTACATTTTAATTACTTTTGGTTTACATGGACCTGTTGCTTGTGCTGTTTAAATTTATCTATATTATAAAAACATTTAAATCATAACGTTACACAATTAAATAGGTACCGAGTGAGAGTACCTTTGGGGGAACGTTTGTTTTCTTGCTAATTTTAAGTTTCAATAACCTTACAAGAAATCACAAAGGCAAAAATGGATGTCACAAATTTTTATGTATGATGTTGATTGGAATTAAGATATATTTGTTAATCACACTCAATTACCTCACATACTTTCTACTTTATAAACAATACAGTTTGCAAAGCAGATACAGGAATGATTCATGTAATACCAATTATACAAATTTACTGTACAAATAAAATATGGCATGACTGCATGACCTGTAAAAACTGAAAAATGTTATTTTCGAATACAATAGCCGCCGTATTCAACTGGTTCGGTTAGTTGACAACCATTTTAATATTATCTTCATTCTGCTGGTTTGTAAAATATACTTCGTTGGCAACGGAAATTAAGGTAAACTAGAGTGCGTTCAGCATTAATTTGCAATAAGTTATCCACGTGATCAAACAAACAGGGCTGATTGGTCAGTTTTGCAACAACATTTGCGTTAATAAAATTTTTATTAAATTTCAGAGAATAATAATTGTAATATTTACCCACATTAAGCCAAAAATTAATTTTAGTCTAACAGAATTTAAAAACTGCAAGAAAACATTTTTTACGGAAAACCCACACTACCACAAGCTGAAGCAACCTTGATTACGCTAGCGTTTCTCGTAGTATCCAGTATTATTCGTTAGGAGGATTTTTTTTCTCTGTTGTGGCGTAACCACCACCTTTATTCTATATATTCCTCATTAAACAAAAAATCAAAATTTCCATATATTTAAGGAAAAATATTTGAACTCTTTACAGTAGATTTATATTGTGAAAACGAAGCAAATTTCAGATTAACTTAACACATAACTTCCCTTCCTCTAAGGTTTACTGTTAGAACATCAAGAGCATATGTTTTTCCTTCCTTTTTCCCTTTCTATTTTGTATTTTCACCAATTTTTATTCCATTCTTTTTCATTAACATAATTACATAACACATACAAAAATCAGTTTTCTTGTTTTAACCGTTAAACACATTCTATCATACATTTATCCCACTTTGATTTACTATTTCTTTAATATTCTTATTAATGTATTTCTTTCATTTTTATGAAAAAAATATATTCAAACATTAATATCGTCTTTATATAATGGTAATTACATTGTTAATATTTTTTTAAAATAAAGTTATATCAGATATCTCAAATGTAATTCATTCATTAAAAGGGTATTAATTGAACCAAAGTTCCATTTTTCCGAGATTTCAGAATTTTTGCTTTAAACAAACAGAAGGAGCCAACCCTAATGAGATTATTTATATACTGCTTATTTGTTCTAGTTATAAAATTATCAAATGTTATATTTACCGGTGTGATTAATCTATTTATCATTTAATCATTTAGACTTATATAGAGTAAATGTTTTTCATCTTCAACCTTATTACATAAAATGTATTTTAATATCATTGTTTATGACGTTCCACTTGTGAAGTCTTTTATTTGTCGGTAGAAGTGTGCCAGCTTCCTTTTCTTTTATTTTGGAGACCCTTTTTGCCCAAATGTCTTCCCATGCAACTTTTTTATTTAATAAAATGTAGGATTTTACCACTGCACAGGTGTAGTACGTGGTTTTACAAAGAACGACCAGCAGAATACGGCCAATGGCTGCAAGAACACTAACAATAACATTGAAGAGAATAAACTTGGACTTACAGGCAATCCACATACTGAACAAGTCCCATGTATGTAGGCATAACTTCAATAGGCTCAACATAAAATGGGGTAAGAATATCACGCTCTGCTGTCCGGTGACAACACAATGCCATGTTATACTGCTCCATGCATGAGACACTTCTAAGGTACTGAGGAGTAAGGACTGGAAGATTAAAATAAAAGGTAGCAATGAAAAAAAAAAGCCAACGTTATTTTCACATACAAATCTCTGGAGGATATTGCGTTGCTCTGGATCCAAGACCAGGGTAGTGGATTCAAAGTCAAGTTTTTTGGGGTTTTTTTTTTATGATTGGAGACAAATTCACTGCCTGTGCCTCAAGAGTATAAAGTTGTGTATCAGATGTCTGATAAAGACATTATACGATAATACATATTTGATCAAATAATTTCATTTTATCTTGAAAGCTAATTCTAATCCTGATGAATACGCACTGTAAACCATTTAGACCTACGGTATTTGTTATTAAAATACACAATAAAATCAATAAATACTTAAACCAAAAATGAATGTTTGTGCACAAAATTAAAAGAACAACATAATTCATTAAAATGGAATGTTTATTTTACATTTACTTCAGGAGACTAGGCCAGTGGCACGCATCCTTCATACAAATTTAGCGCCCCCCCCCCAAAAAAAAAAATAATTAAAAAACTGCTGAGAAAATGGTTACAATGTAACCCATCAACTTGACCCAATACCATCAGCCACCCCCCTCCCTCCCACCATGTCAATACTCCTAGATACACCAGTGAGCTAGACTCACCTGTAATAACTCTTGCACATCGCATCATAACGTCATACATGTCCTCCTGCCACACCTCTTCATTTTTTATTTCCTGTTGATTTTCAAATATGCGAATATCCGACTTCGCCAACTCTAACTTTTGTTTAATGATGGTGGCAAACATTTCGTCTTCTTTAGAAAATGAAATATATGCATCATACTCGATAGGAATGTTCTATATATTGAATAAAAGAAAGATCAAGAAAAAAACGTAAGTATAGAGGTAGTGTAATCATGAACAAATACCTTTAAAATCAGTGTGATATGAATAATGTATGTTGACCTCATCAGTTGTCATTTTTGATAAATTTGTCTAAAATCATACAATAAATTTTAAATTATCACCATTGTTATTGTCATTACGTCAACCACAATCTCCATTATCATCTATATCATCTAAGTTATTTTTTTAATGGAGATAAAATAAATAATTAGACTGTAAGCAAAACTACATTATACCTTTTGTGCGAGTTCTTTCATTCCATATCTTTCCTTTAAATCTTTAAACAGTTTACACATGTGTTTGTTTTTCTCTAGCAATTCCCGTTTATCGTCCACATTTGCAGCATACAGCACAATCTTTAGCTTGCGCAACGGTAGCCCAGCCTTCATCCAATTCACTGCTGCCTCCACCATCCCATTCATCATGTTTTTTTGACTGTACCCCTAGAAAAATTTAAAGTTATAATTATTCTCCATAAACTGGCCTATAAAATTCTGAGCAAAAGGGCTTTTAAAGTACTGAAGAAATTGAAGAAAAATCACAGCAGCAGTCAAAGAATCTCCTTAGCAACAACACAGTTTCCATTGAGCTATTGCGATGGAATTTTCTACGGTTTGTTGGAAATAGTTTGGGGAAAAAAATCTTCTGTTTTTAAGTCGAAACCCCAGAGAGTTAATTACTGATACCCGGGGGAAAATTGGTTTATACCTTTATAAAGCTGAAACATCCACGTACTGATTATGGCATCCCTATTGTTCTGATGAATTTAGTAGACATAAGAAGTGTTTTATTCGTCAAGCCTGGTTAGAGAGGGTGTTTTGTCGGGGTGTGGATGAAAAATGGACGGGGTGGGGCTATGGGGGGGGGGAACTGGATTTAAAAAAAATAAATTTATAAACATTTAAAATACATTTTCAGAATTATGCAAGTATTTACAAGTAAAATGATCAGGATTTCTATTGTTGCAAGCTACATTGTAGCATGGGGAGGTGGTAAACAAGCTGTTTAAGCAAGACAATAATTCCTCCATTCGAACTATACCAATTCCATCATTAAAATACTGGTAGATCACTACTCTCTATCTTCTTTAAAATCAAAACATTTAGCGTTATTTATGCGTCCGCAATACTTAATTGAATGCTAGGCCTTTACCTTTCTTTGTGACCAGTGATCCAAATCAAATTATGCCAAGGGATGATGGGAAATTATGCTAAATTATACCAAATGTTTAATTTAATCGTTGTTTAATAAGCACCTTTCTCCCACCTAAAATGAAAGCAACACTATTCTCAATACTATTACTGTATCCTATACCCAGTGGTGCCGCCAGAGTCGACGGTATCAGGTCTGATATTCCCGACTGGGAAGAGAGGAGGGATTGGAATGGCCAATTTTCCGGACGGGAGAAAGTTGCCGGTGTCAGAGAATCAAAAACCCTACAATATATATTATATTATATATATATATATATATATATATATGTATATATACATATAT